AAAAATCATTCTTAATTTTTTTTGTTACCTTTCAGAACTGTTACTGCATTTGTAAATCATTTGGATATATTCAATTTACCAATTCTCTACTGAAGGACATTTAGGTCCTTTTTCAGTCTTTACTAAGAGCATGCAATGATTTCCTTGCCCATTCCTTTGCAAGACATTTCTATTTTTCTTTAGAATAAAATCCAAATAGTGGTATTGCTGGACCAGACAATGTACTGAGATGTTTAATGCTGACACTTAGCAGTAGGCTGCCCTCCGGAGAAGTTCAGCCGCCCACACCCACATCTCATGCTTCCGGCAACTTCACCAGCTCTCTGCATTAGTGATAGCTGTGATCTTTGATAATCTTAGAGATAATTTTCATTAATATTTATTAGTGATATTGAGACATCTTCCATATCTGTTCTGGTCCTTCATGTTCTTTTCTTTTATTAATAGCCTGTTGTTACCATTTGCTCATTGTACACATGTAGTTGCACTTTTCTTATGAGCCCTACCTAATATTTGAGACATAGTAACCTCTCATCAGATGTTATAAATATATACTTGTTTGGATCCTTAAAATATACCCACACATACATACAAAAGTTTTAAAGATTTATATAGCTGAATATGTCTTTTTTTAAATCTTTGTTTTCCGCCATAAAATTTAGAAGGTTCTATCCCACCCCAGGATGGTAAAAGGAAAGGATTCTTCTATATGTTATTCCAGTACTTTTATGCTCTTAACTTCTTGTGTTTATATCTTTAACTCTTTTGGAATTTAGTCTTATGTATTGTATGATACATACAGAGACTTTAAAAAAAATTGTAAATCAAAAAGGCAACAAATGGACTACTCAATAGCATTAGTGCATTTGGCTTTCCATATTTAAAACAAATCTTTCATAAAACAAAAATAAATTCTACAGCCTACAGTGATAAAGCTTTAATACTATCAGGCAAAATACAGGATAATATCTTTACAATTTCAAGGTAGACAAGGATTTTTAAAATTATACACCAAAGCACAAGTGTGTTGTGGTATTTAGCTGTGTCAAAATTTTAACTTTTACATGGCACTTGACATTATGAAGTCAATATGACAGTCTTGAGGGAATTATTTAAAAGAAACAATCCATAATATATAAGCAACTCTCACAAATTAATTTTCAGAAGGGAAGTATAGGAAGTAGGGGAAAAAAGGAAAAAATATAAACTGTCAATTCACAGATTAAAAATCTGGAATAGTCAATACACATAAAAGAAAGCACAATCTTCACCTCCCACAGTCAGCAGCACAAGTCTATTGCGTGACGATAAGAAAGCTCACTACACAACACACAGTGTGAGCAATTAAAAATCACAAAACATAGCATTATACAGGAAAAAACAAAAAAGAACACTTCTTAGTTACCCTACAGCATTCCAGTCCCTACCTAACATTATTTCCTGAGGCCCAGCTGCATGTCAGCTCAAATTTGGTCAGATACTGTAGTATCTTTGGTCAGATACTGTAATACCCTACTAAAACATTTTTTTCCTCCCCCAATCAGGTTTGTATGTCACTTACGTTGGTTGAAACCAAGGTCTCTAAATAATAAACGTTAGAATTGTGAAAGTTAGCAGCATATGCCTGGGTGGAGGGCACTTAGGGTCTTCTGATGGACATACATTCATGCACGTGTCGGGTTCTGTGGAATGAAGTGGGTTCAAGGTGTTCTTCCTCTCCAGGAAATATTAAGGGTTGCTTCCTTGATTATTGCTTTTCTTCCAGCAGCCCTGCTCTCTTCTTCTGGAACTTCTATTATATTGCCTATTGGAAAGCTTAGATTTATTCTCAATTATCTCTTCTTTTCTTTCAAAACTACCAACTCTTGTTCTTCTTTGCCTTCTGGGTGATTCCCTCAGGCTATACTTACTCACTAACACAATTCCCAGAGTAGCCCATTTTCTTACTCAAGACATTTTATTCCCATTTACTCTTTTCCTGTGGCAGACTGCTCCAATTTTATCCATACAGTATCCTTCTGAACTGTCCCTGTGAATACTGCTCCCACGTTCCCTTCTTTCTTAGGGAAATGGAATCAACACTGGCTGGGCACACAGGGCAAGGGGCAAGTCACTAGACCTAGAGGTTGAGAGGGGGTGAACAGATGGCCAATGTAGCTGGGAAAATGGTTGTGCCAGGCAATTAAGTAAAATATATGGATAATATAGCAAATAAGTAAATACACAGATGATAATGCAGTAAGTAGACTGTGGGGAGACGGCCACACTCCCAGCAAAAAATCGGGTCCCTTAGGTAGGGGTGGTTGTAAAGGATAAGAAAATAATAGAAAATGGAAAATAATGGAAATAAAAGAATACACAGAGACGAAGGTATAGTTTTATAGATTTATAAAGATTATAGGCCAAGCGGGATACTCAGGGGGCCTTCGATCTCTCCATCAATCAGGAAATGCCAAGAGTAAAGTTTTATATGGGCATTCATAGGTACAGTGATTGGCTGTCAGGGGTAACAGATTTACATAACAACAGGTAGTTTTTCCTAGGTTAAAAGTTTTTTAAAAGGCTTTTTCAGATCCCTTAACTAACTTTATCTGTGTGAACAAATGGTTACAAAATCTTTTAAGGACTAATTTTTAAGTTCTAAGGTAAATTTATCACTTAACAGAAGGGTTAAACAGAGACATAGTGGCTCCATATTTTTTTTTATCAAGTTATTGTGTATTGAGACAGGTAGTCAGGAGTCTAAGTAGGAACTGTCCCTTGGGCTAATTGTTCTTAGCCACAGGTGTCTCTGTCTGTCGGGCGGGCATTTTTTGATCAGCTCTCATCCTGTGGCTCTTAGCAGATCTGTTTTCCTTTTCTTTTTTTTTTCTTTTTTTAATTTTTATTTCAGCATATTATGGGGGTACAGATGATTAGGTTACGTATGATGCC